ATGCCTTTTTTCCTTCCTTGCTCTCTTTTAAAGTAAACAGTTCATTTCCTAGTATGAGGGCACTTCCATTGACTTAACTCTGATCTGGGTCCTTGCTGGCTTTCAGATCTCTAGCCTAGATTTCCTGGGCACATGGGCTAACAAACCTTTTTTTTTTGTGAATGGGTTTTGTTTTTGTTTTCCTAAAACTGCATTAAAAAGTGGCACACCTGGGCTGCATCGTAGTGGGCTATTTAATAGCAAGGTTGCTGGTTTGCAGTGTGACCAGGCTGAACTTCCTTCAGCTGGAGTTTCTCAGAGTGGCTGCGTTGCTCCCTGCTCTCCCAGGATGGCTCAGGAAGCTCCTAATCTTATTTCTGTTCAGAGTTTGGGAAGCTTTTCCACTAATTGCTTTAGGACATAGGAGAAGCAGGCATCATTTCTTTTTAAGACCTTTGGTTGCCTATGCAAAATGTAAGGAGCTCTAAGGAGAGGGTCTGTGAGAGAAATGAGCCTGTAATCAGCAGCCTGCTGGATCTCAGTGCAGTGGTGCTAATGCTGCACTACAGAAGGAAGTTCTATTTGCCAAACAAGATAGTGGGAGGGAAAAGGGAAGAAAATCTGTGACCTAGCTGTAAATGGGGGAGAGGCAGGGGATGAAAGAAGAGGGGACACTGTAAACCTTACTTTGCTGCAGACTTTTATGTGATTTATATCTTATTATGATACACTGGGCAGACTGATGAATTTTAGTTTTACATAGCAAACTGTTAATACAGTATCAAAAAAAAAAGTCTATCTGTGGAAAGTCTTCTAACAAGAACGCTGCCTTTTTGTCATGCCAGGTAACCTTGGTAACTTAAAGTGTATGGCCATTGATCCTTGTAATTATTCTGCTTGTGCAGAGCCTGAATACAGAGAGCTTTTTCTAGATAACTAATAGGAAAAAGACACCTTGCTTCTTTAGACCATGCTCCTCTACGTAGAGAGTGAACCTTGTCCACCTTAGGCGAATGAAAGTGTTGGTGGTTGTACACTGGGAGGTCAAAGGCTGAAAGCTAACTTATTGATTCTGCAGTTGGAGAAGTGATTGCTTTTATAAGGAAATAAATGCAATGTGCTTCTTTTCCTCCTCCTCTAATATTTTGCAGCCATTCCTCTTTTTATTGCATTAAGAATAGTTTAATGGCTCATTTAATATAATTAGTTTTAAATTGCAAATGGGAAGAGGTTAAGTAGATGGACTAAAGTTTTCACATTGGCACTTTGAATTAACATAAATGAATGTGGCTTTTGGAGTAAAGTAATCTTCTAATCACTTATGATAACATCAGTTATGAAGGTAAAAGCTGAAGGTTTCAATTTTGTCTTCTAATTTTTTTTAGGCAAGTTGGTTCCTTCAGTGAATGATGTGCATTGTTAAAACTGTATTTAGAGGGGAAATGTATGGTTTTCCTGTCTAAAGACTATACAAGTATTATGGTGTGCTTTTTTCCTTTTTTTAAACCAAAACAAATTGAGAAGTTTGACTAAATGTCAGCAAGTGATTATAATCTTAATTGAAAGAAACTGGTCTGCAGTACTTGCATTTAATGGTGGAGTTCAGAATGTGGGCTAAAAAAATTAGATGGTAATGAAGGCATTAAGTGTAATGAGCACCTCTGTGGGTTTCTGCTTCCTCCCTGGAATGGGGTTCCTGGGGAGAAGTGCTCTTGTAACCGGGCATATTTTATGGTCTCATAACATAGCCAGGTGGAGATGTGTTTTTGTGAGATTAAAGTGGTGATTTCTCCCATCTTGCTTGCCTGCCCCAAATCCGTCCATGCAGTTTCAGCCTCTTACTACCGTGTTTGGAAGGGCGTCGTGTGGATGTAACTCCTGACCGGCTCGTGAGCGAGGGCAGTGCGGTGCCGAGGTGGGAAAGTGCCGTGAAGGACCCGCTGTTTCTTCCTTCACCCTCTCTGCAGTGCTAGGCGGCCTGGAAGGCAGAATCGAGTTGTTTTTACTCTATCAAAGCCTGGGTGGGAGGGGGAGAGGAGATGTAGGCCTGTGTTTACAGGGCCAGGCAGTTTTAGGCTGGGATTAATAATTTCAAAACTTGCCTTCAGTAATTTGCTCAAAAGAGAGCTCGAGTACAAGAAACCCAGCTTCTTCACTGGCCGCTGTGCAGCCGCCCTTGCAATATGTTGTCTTTGTCCGCCCGCTGGTTGCTAAAACTGAAGTTCCATGGCCAGTTTTGGAAACGAGGCCCAGGGAATTCCCAGAGCGCGGCGGCTGCGGGGGAGCCTCTCGCTCAGGTGCAGCTGCCTGGCAGGAAGCTGTGCAAAGAGGAGCCACAAGCCTCAGCCAAAGGCTGCATTTTGCTATCATTTTTTCCCCCTCCTTTGCTTGTTATCTTTTTCTCTTAACCGCTTCCTGCTTTTTCACCCAGAACAAGAGTTGTGTCACACAATGGTGAAAATTAAAAAGGCAACACATACTTTTAAGGTAGTGAGAGTAAATGTATTTTAGAATAACAAAATTTGAGAAGAGAAATAATGGCAGGCTTCTTAATATAGTGTGCTGAGGAGATTGCATCGGGTGCTGTCTAGTTTAGAAAACTAAAACACAACATAGCCAGCTTTGGTCTGCAGGGTCTCTTGCAGTAATTTAAGCTGCAACTTTCTCTTCAGGTTGTGAGATGAAGTTAGTATTTTCCTCATGAGGGTTTTAAAGCTCGATTAACTTGGATTGAGGGAGGCCTAACTTCCAGTCCCCAGATCTGCCTTTTTGGAACAAACGGATGGTTGGTTCGAGTCAAGTTTCATAGCAGTTTCTTCATTGTGGGCAGGAGGGGAGCTGTGGTGAGAGGCATGAGCCATCCTGGTGGTCTGCTCCCTTCTGGGATGCTTGGAGCCTCTCCTGGAGGTAACGTCTTGAGGACTGGTTGGCCTGCCCTTCTGTTTTGCGATTAGGTGGGTGGTTCTTACATAGAGTTAGGCACCTTCAGAAACTGTGGTCCTTCGCTGAAGCTCCACGCTCCTAGGCGACCTCTTTACAGTCTTGGTTCCTGATGAATTTTCTATCCCACCTCACCCTCCTGGTGTGAGTGAACTGAGATGTTACTGTTCTTTTATTTTTATTTTTCGTTTGGGTTTGATAAGTGGCATGTTGCTGTTAATTCCAGCAAACACACTGTTAAATGCACAATTAAGGCTCCAAATGAGCTTTCTTTGCTGTACCTAGTTCACAGTGGGCTCTGCCACACAGTTCTGGAGCATTAAGAGCCCAGCTTGCGTTAGAATAGCCTCATGTCAGAGGGTTGTGGGCTCCTACAGGGACAGCTTCCTGGCACTCACTGGCCTGAGCCATTGCAAGCACTCGTTGGACTCTACCCTGTTAAAATTCCTCATGATCCTTCTGGGGACTTGGCCTTCCCTCAGTATTTGTAGGATGCAGTGGGAACCCATAGAACAAGTGTGTTCTCTTCTAATCTGTGGTCTGTACTACAGAAGTTGAGGTTATGTGGGTCATCAAATAGACCTCACTCCATGAAGTCACTTTTAAATTTATAAATATGTTCTTCTTGGTTTCGTTTTTTTCCCTGGCTTGTAGCATTTTCTGTGTATTAGTATTTCCTATGTCTTTTGCCACGCTTCTGGTATTAGAAATAATTACTCTTTTAAAATGATGTGACTCTCCTGACTGGAGGAATTGAAGTTTTAAGAAAAATACTGACAAACTTCTACGTGCTAAAGCCGACTTGGCAAAAATGGATGGATCAAGGCAGTTCAGGCTACGGAAGACCAACTCAGGAACTTTATACTGCTTATTTATATTACTGTTACAGTATTCAGTATGAGTATGTTATAGTAAGGCCACTTAACAAGTACATACTGCCAAAACTCTGGATAGCTCTTTTCTGAGTAAGTGCCCTTGAAAAGGGGAGTAGGGCTATCTGGACTAGGTATTTTCTTGAAAGATAAAGTCCTGGGCGGTCTGCTCTGTGCTGACCTCATCCATTGTTCAGAAATTCGTTGCAAGTTGTTCTGAAAGTGATAAATGTTAAATCAGGCTTGCACTGCATCAAGAACTGATTGGATTACAGGCAGAAGAGAGAGCTCATCCTGTAAGTGCACACCGAGTTGAAATGAAACAGCCAAGTGAACTTTTCTAAATAGCTGATACTGTGGAGGCAGAAAACTGTATTTCAAGTTGCCTGTCACAATATAAACCAATAGAAGGAGTTAGTGGAGATGGAAAATAATTGCAATTTTTTTTTCCACAAGGGCTCATATTGACAAGAGTGAAGGTAAGAGTGACCTTTTCAAAAATCAAGTGAACTTCCCTGCTTGGAGTTTAGCTTTGGCAGTAGCTTCTTAAGCCGCTGTAACTCTGTGGTGTGTCTGGGACCTGTTAGGCTGCTGTTGTCCATCAGTGCTGTGTGGTCACTTAGGTTGTCCCTTCGTTATAAGCTGATGCAGTGAGTCTTAAACTTTGGTTAAAATAAATAAATAAATTAATTAAACTGCTAAACTAGAAAGAAAAGGTATTTAGACACAGCAGCCTAGGGCTGAATTTGTTGAAGCCAGGAAATGTTGTGCACAGGAATGACAAAGCCATTTAATAGTTAGTGGACTAGATGCATCTCTAAGACTTCTGCTTCCTTCTCTTCCTTATGTACTGAAACACCCATTATATTGCAGAGAAATCTTTGTTCCGATGTCCCTGCATCAAAGCGAGGGGGCTGCAGCCTGCTTGGCTTGGGGCAGTGTGCCCAAGTAACTCTGGGTGAGTCTCCAGGCTGCTTTTGCTGGGGCAGCAGCACCTGTGTCTGCCCTGCAGGTGGGATGTGGCTGGGGTCTCGCAGCCATTCCCCATATTCACATGTGCTTGTGCAGTAAGACCTGAGACTGGAAAAATCATTCAAGAGTGGTCAGATTATTTAAAAAGTCCTACTGGGAGTTTCTCCTTTAGGGAAGTCAGCTGTGTGCCTTTAGCTTTCTGCAAAACAGCTAATCTTCAGAGGCATGGTAGCTTAATTCCTCATATCTGTGTTAAATTTACCTCCATCTTGGTGGTAATATGATCACTAGATACACACTTAACTGAAGTGTTCTTGCAGCGTTTAAATTACACAGCATTTGTGCAAAGAGGAATGCTGTGCTCCCTGTTTGACCAGGGCCACGCTGAGTGCACCCTCTGCAAAACAAGCCACGGTTGCAGCTGCACCTTTCTCTGAATGCTCTGTAATAGAGAAGTGGGGCTCGGGGGGACTCGGTGCCTGTCAGCAGCTTGCCAACCTCTTTGACGTAAATCAGTCTCAACCAGTTTTGATCTGCAGCGGTTTGTGTAGAATCTTTATGAATGTGTCTTTTTTTCCTCCTCTTTTCTCCTTGCAAATTTTTATCGTACAGCTTCAATCACCTGGAATAAATGTCGTTTTCTCAAAGCAGCTCTAGATCCCCAGGAAAGCTGCGCTTTAATCGCTTTAAAAGATTCTGATGAGGTAATTCTGTGTATTGTGTTACTTCAGCCTCAAGATATAACCACACTTTTTAAGAGGATATGTCAAGGTTGTTCCTTTCTAATGACAACAGATATGGATGGGATGAATGAGAAAGCCTCCTTGTATTTTGTTTAAATGTATCAAATACGTGGGGAGGCTCAAGGGCAAGGACGCTTGTTTTTCAGTGAGATTATTAGAAATCCAACCTTGTAATTTAACAGTTTAAAATGTCAAATAATGTGTGTGTCATCTTGAGCAGTTTACTCCAGAAAGTTGTTATGAATTCAGGAACTACGTAGCCTGAATCCTACTCAAGAAATACCCTAGTCTAGTATGCAGTAGTGTGCTGTATGTTATGTAAGTTTTTGTAGTTCATAATGGGCTGTGTCCAGTGAGGACAAGGAGGACGTGGAGCAAGTCCAGCAAAGGGTCTTGAAGATGATTAAGACAGTGGAGCATCCCTGAAAAGAGGAGACGCTGGAGCTGCTCAGCCTGGGGAAGAGAAGACTCGGGGAGATCTTGCTAGTGAGCATAAATCTGATGGGTGGGAGTAGAAAAGACTTGACCAGACTTTCCCAGTGATCCCAGAAACAGGTTGAGAGGCATTGGACACAAATTGAAATAAAGGAAACTCAGTTTAAAGGCCTTTTTTTTTTTTTTTTAATGGCAAGGTTGGTTGAGCACTGGAGCAGGTTTCCCTGGCCGTAGAATCTCTATCTTTGGAGATACTCAGAACCCCTCTGGACACAGCTCTGAGCAACGGGCTTGGTTGGCCCTTCTTTGGGCAGGGGGATGGACTGGAGACTTTCTTCTTGCATTAAGTGATTGCTGAAGTGTGAGAGTTCAGGCAGATGTAGGTGTCACTGGTTTCTTTGTAAGTGCCCCATCTGAAGTCTCTCCCTGTGTGTGTATTCTAATATATACCAACTGCCAAAAAATATTACTGACTCTGGTCCATTTAGGATATTCCAAAGTACTGTTGTTGCTCTTCATGTCTTGTGTTTGAAGGCTGCTCCTGCCTCAAGGGTTTTATCTGTTACTCTTTATCCCAGAAAATCCCACAATTTTTCCTTTTATAGTAACACAAGTTCTTTAAATCCCTTGATAGATGTTTGACTTAGTATTCAATGCAGGGTTCAGATGCATCACTTGTGCTGTACCTGCTTATCCTATCTTAGCTCTTTTGTTAGACTACACATCCTTAGTCCTTGAACTTAAAAAGATACCACTTTGAACAAAAGACTGGGAGTGCTTTGAAATTCCCTATGCTTTCTAAAATTTCTTTTATACCCTAATATTTTCAAGTTGTGTTTCTAATTGTTCTTGTTGTTGCATGCAGCATAGTAAGTTTTGTCTAGACTGTTTTTAATGAATAGTGAGTTGAATGCTCTTGACTCCTCGGGCTGTTCGTGAAGTCATGCTGGCCTGCGGCCTAGCCCTCTTCCAAGAGTCATCTGTCTGATTCTGCAGTGAACTAAGTCACTAGTGTAACTATTTACTGGGTTAATGTTTCCTTGTGGTGGATGAAAATGCATCGACTTTTTCCGTTTCTGGCATGTGCAGAAATTTTGCATGACAACATGCAAAAACTGAAGATTTTTCTTTTTGAAGTATGTAGAAGAAGATTAAAGTATGAAATTATTCATAGTGGGTAAGTAACTATTACTGGGTAATGTTTTAGACTCTTTGCCTCAGTTGTACTGATGGGAGAGGAAGGTGGCTTAGCGATGCTCAGACTTGGTGTTTTTTGTCTTTCAGAGCTGTGGAGTCCCAGAACGAAGGCCAGTGCTCCCCGGTGGACTCCCTGTGGCGACGTTACAGTGAATTTGAATTGCTGAGGAATTATTTGTTAGTAACTTTTCCTCATATTGTCGTTCCACCTTTGCCAGAAAAAAGGGTAAGGAAGCTGGGGTTGTGGCTTGCTCTGTATTGTTTGTTATTTATTTACTACTAACGCTCCTCTGTTTAAATAGGCTGACTTTGTTTGGCACAAGCTATCAGCAGATAATATGGATCCAGATTTCGTGGAAAGACGAAGAATTGGTTTGGAAAACTTCTTGTTACGTGTGGCTTCACATCCTGTTCTTTGCCGGGACAACATCTTTTATTCATTTTTAACACAGGTAAAGTGGCATGCTTTCTAAATACATGCTTTTTAGTGATTATTTCTTT